TGTTACCTTTGATAAGAAGTCCATGATTGTTAAAGCACCCAAGGATGATGGTGTTGGGACTATTGGGACTTTAAAGTCCCAGGTTATTGAGATAGAACCTAAAGACCAACCGAGTTCTAGTCATGTTCAAGTGGGAAATCAGGTAGATGATGAGCTTGAGCAGGAGGATGTTCACAGGAAAATACACAAGCACTACAACAACAGCAGTTCGAGGATAGTTTGGTTTTTACTAGGCCAAGACGAGCATACAAGCATGTACTAAAGCTGGGGGCTGATCAACCCCTGAAACACTATGGACAGGTTAATTTGGTGGAATACGCACTCTCGGTGGAGGAAGATGAGTCGGTCTCCTTCAATGAAGCTATTCGGGACAAGGATAGTGAGAGTTAGTTGGCTACGATAGAGGAGGAGATGAAATCTCTTCGGAAGAACCAAACATGGGATGTCCTATTGCCCGTAGGAAGAAAAACTATTGGTTGTAAGTGGGTGTATAAGAGAAAAAAAGATCCTTCAGAGCTCGATGGTACAAGATACAATGCGAGGCTAGTGGCTAAAGAGTTTGCACAAAGAAAGGGTGTGGATTACAATGAGATCTTTTTTCCGATGGTGAAACATACTTCTATTCGGGTGCTATTGAGTATTGTTGCTCATGGTGATCTTGAGCTGGAACAACTCGATGTTAAAACGGCCTTCTTGCACGGAGACTTGGATGAAGAGATCTATATGCATCAACCTGAGGGTTACAAGGTTGAGGATAAGGAGCATCATGTATGTCACTTGAAAAAATCACTCTATAAAATGAAGCAATCTCCTCGGCAGTGGTACAAGCGATTTGACTCCTTCATGCTGAAGCATGGATTTTTCCAAAGCGACTATGATTGTTGTGTTTATATTCGAAAGCTTCGTGAAGGTGATTATATCTGTCTCCTTTTGTATGTGGATGACATGTTTATTGTTTCGAAGAGCAGGGTGGAGATAGATAGGCCAAAATCTCAGCTTGGTAAAGAGTTTGAGATGAAGGACATGGGCGCTGCTAGAAAAATACTGGGTATGAAAATTAGAAGAGAGTGGGCAAATCGGCGATTGTTCTTGAGTCAGAAGGGCTACATAGAGTGGGTGATCGCAAGGTTCGGGATGCAAAGTGCAAAGTCAGTGGCGACTCCATTGGCTCCACACTTCAGGCTTTCAGGTAAACAATCTCCCACTACAGCGAAAGATAAGGCACACATGGAACGTGTTCCTTATGCTAGTACAGTTGGTAGTTTGATGTACGTCATGGTGTGTACATACCCAGATATTTCACAGACGGTTAGTATGGTCAGCAGGTTCATAGTGAATCCGGAAAAGACGCACTGAGAAGCGATGAAATGGGTCTTGAGGTATTTGAAAGGTATTGCGGATACGGGTCTGTGTTTTGGTGGAGATACATGTCAGATTGATGGGTTTGTGGACTCTGATTATACGGGCGATCTAGATAAACGGCGATCTACTACTGGTTATGTATTCAAGATACATAGAGCTCCAGTTAGTTAGCGATCGATGTTACAGACTACAGTGACGCTTTCTACTACAGAGGCCGGGTACATGGTCATAGCAGAGGGAGTGAATGAAGCATTGTGGTTGTGGGATATTCTAAACGATTTGGGGATTGAGCAGCAGAACGTGAGCTTGCGGTGCGATAGTCAGAGTGCGATTCACTTGACGAAGAATCAAGTTCATCATGCTCGTACCAAGCATATCGATGTCAGGTATCATTTTGTGCAGGATGTCATAGAAGAAGGTGATATTTCTCTCATGAAGATGCACACGAATAAGAATCATGCAGATATGTTAACCAAGATGGTCACAAATAGTAAGTTTAAGCATTGCTTGAACTTGCTTCATATCAGCCCGTATTGATTTGTCTAAGAGGACATGGCCCTTCGGGACGGTGATGGGGTGAGGTGGAGACTATATGGAGAACAAAACCTGAACTACGGTTAGCTTGATCCGGTGAAGGGTACGTAGGCAGCCGCGTTAAAGTGGCGCAGCTGGTTTGACCTGGTTTTGGCCTGCTTTGGCAAATGGATATCTCTCTGGTTTATGTTTGTGGTGTTCTTCTGGTATTCGTCCAACAATTGAGGTTTATCAAATAATGTACGATGTGGAGAATTATGAACGTGGGCCACACCTACGTAAGTTTATCTTTTCTTTCCGCGTGAACAACTAAGTTTTCTTTCCGTGTGAACAGCTGCACACAATTATGCAGCGGGCCCACAACATGTACAACGGGTATTTAGGCTGACAGCAGAGGGTTAATTTTCTCGGCTATAAATAGGAACATGGTTCTGTTCCTAGGGTTTTGTGTGGGATTTTGCCGACTGCTTACAGAGCTTTGGCAGCTGAGCAAGGGAAAACGCAGACGACAGTGGGATTTATTGCGGCTGTTTTTGAGAGAAAAGCAGAGAGATTTTGAGGAGAGAAAAAGAGAGATTCTACAAAAGAGAGGTTAATTTCTTTTGGTAAAAATCAGATCTCTTTTCTTTGAGACGAGCTTGTGAATTGTACAAGTCGTCGGTGTTCCCCTTATAGTGGAATCTCCCCTCCCCCCTCCCGTGGACGTAGGTAAGTTTGTCGAACCACGTAAATCTCATGTCTTTACTGTTTTCTGGGTGTTGGCTATTGTTTGTAGGTTCCCTCGACAATTCAGTCCTAGAACTGATGAGAGGAAGAGTGTATATTTTACTTTGTTGAGATATTTCACTTTATATTCTTGTTTCCTTTGAGAAACGAGAATATAGAGGTTGGCTTGTGCTTTTGTGACAACAATAATCAGGGCTATTTCTCAGATGATATCGCTTCCGCGGCAGGAGGATGAATGCCCAACAACTTATATTTACTATAATATGTATTCTTTAGTGATGTATAATTTTAATAATAGTATCATTATTGGCTGGAATGTAGCTGGACTTGACAAAATTAAAATTGTTCTTGAGAGAAAAGGGTTATGTAAAGTGTTTAAGCAAAATTTTCACGTTTAGACAATATAAGAAATAACTAATAGTAACATGAATGATAATAAGTCGGTGCTTAATATCAACTGATAGAAGAAAATGACAACTAACTCGATGAATACATTAAATAGAAAGGATTAAATTTTTAATTATTTTCAAAAGAATAAATTAAATAGAAATGTTTAAATCATTAATTATTTTCATTTTATTTTACAATCTTTATGTATTATTTCAGGTTTAATTGCACTTAAATACCCTAAAGTTTCTAGAAGTTGGAACTTTAGTGCCACAAGAGAATGCTCCCTCCCCGGGGTGTTTTTTTTTGGGTGGGTTTTTTTTTTTTTTTTTTTTTTTTGGGGGGGGGGGGGGTTTT